TTGTCTGCCTTGTTTTATACAAGAGTTTGCTATATCACGAGCTAAACGTGCTAGTAAATCGATCTCATGATCGAAGAATAAAACACTGCATGAACAATCCAGATAATCGAACAACCATTCGAGATTCTCCTCTACATCCGAACGAAGTACGTATACGCCGCGTACTTGGTCAATTAGGGATGGCATAATAAGACGACCGAGGTTGCTAGAAGTCACGAAGAAGATAGAAGTCAGCGCGATATTCGTACGCACAAATCTGTAACACTCTTCAACATTGTTGAAAATCTGTAGAGTGGTATCCCATCGCTTTCTTTTCCATAGCGTTAAATTATCAAATTTATTCAACGATTCTGCAGGTAAGTAATCATCATCCTTAACATCTAATCCCAAACAGAACTTTTGTATGAGCATTTTGTGCTCCTGTTGTTGACCGATATATTCATCCAGCCAAACGATCGTGCAATTGGGAGACTGAATAGGCACTTGTGACGGCACGTCTATGATAAGAAATAATTTATTAGAACAAGTATTCACCCCTCACCCTCAACTTGAAGCAATCCCAACGATAAGCACTGCTGTACTCACCATTTGAATATCGTGATCTGAGTCGAGCGTTGAATCTTCTGTTTGCTGTTGTCGGTATATCTTTGTACAGCTCAGTCAAATATCGAGGAGTGAAAACTACATATTGGCCAAAGCAATCATCGAAGATCTCGAGAACATACTCTTCATTATTAAGATTAATGCCACAGGTTAACCCGATTTGATTCTTGAGCTGGGTAAGAGTTTCATTGGTGTTGATATTCAGAAGATATTGCCAATGTTCGAAGTGAACAACAAGGTCGAATGAGGCCATTTTTATGTGTCTTTTACGTCGAAAACTCACATTTTGGTAGGTATTTTATGTCACTCACAACTCGCGTTGTTTTTCTTTCCATCCCTGTACACGTGGTGGAAAAAGAGTCGGAAAATGATAAAGCAAAAAAGTAATGCACATGCTTGTTTTCGTCCGAAACGAGACGACTCAGAGGAAGAGAGAAACAGAACGCAACAAATATTTTTCTTCGCACAAGAGTAAAAATAAAAATGTTTGCTGACTATCTTTCTATTTTATGATTCATTTTCAAGCATTTGTGCAAGTAACCAATAAGAATCAAATTGAAAATGAAAAATATGTTTGCGTAGAGGAAAGACTAGGAAAGAAAATGTCTCTTTTCCATGTGGAGTCGGAAATATTATAGGTAACCCTCAATTGCAAACCAAAATCATTAATACAATTCGCTCGAGAAGATTAACAGAGCTATCGATGTCGGGTGGCGAGCCATCGCCGGGTACAGTAACCACAATAGTGCACTCTGATACCGAAGCTTATATGGTTTTTGATTTCAACGACCCTAAAATAGCAACAGTCAATGCTGTTCGTGACGTTTTGATAAACAGTGATATAAATTTACCGGAAAATTCATCATGGGAAACTATACAAATTTTCATCAAACATGAAGGTACCGGGATAGATGTTGTTCTTACTGACCGTTATTTGCATAAGGTTCATCCTTGGCAAAATAATTCATTAGCACCGAAAACAGTGGAACTCACTGTGAAAGACAAACCACTGAAACTGCAAGCCAGTCTACAATTGGGTAAGAGAATGAAAAGAGTGTTCTATCGTTTTAAACTTGTATTTTGCCTTTACCATTTATATTAGTGGCGCCACCTGATATGACTCAAAATAATGTTCAGCAGACACTCAATTTATTTATGCCAGAAGAATGGAATCAGTTATTGGAAGACATAGATCCAAGTAATATTGTTAGGTTGTCACAATTCTCAAGAGTACATTGTATCTTTTTTCAATTTTACAGAAGATGTGGTTAATATTTTGAACGAATCCTTACTCAGCCAAGATCAACTTGACGGTATACACACATACTTTGCAATTTTTAATAAATGAAAACCGACTTTAATCATATTTGTAGACGGCGCATCGCTTACTGGAACAGACCCCGCGGGAGAAACTGCCGACTCCAGGATTGCAGCATTCCACAGACTTCGCTCGACTTCAGGAGAACTCCAAGAGGGCCCCAAGGGGCCACCGCTCGAGTTCATTGACGATCTTAGAAAAGATCAGCGATTACAGTATTCGAGCGATTTTCGAAGTGCAGTAATGCTACAAGGACGCAAAAGTATTCCGCAAAATGTAGAACATCCATCATTGCAGGTCTATCGAAGTCAATTCCACAGTTATTTCCAGTATAACATCCTCTTGTTTTATCTTAGATACCTGACGCATACGTTGAGCGTATTGAAGCTGGCGTCCCAATGAAGCTGATCGTAGCAGTTGTTGAAGGAAGGCCTATCCATGAAAAGGCGCGTTGCTGTCTAGCTCCACATCGCGGCCTCTTACCGAACAGCCGTGAAAAATTTTCGAAAGCCAAGGAATTCTACAACCCCTTTATTTGGCCAATCCAAAAGGAGCAGCTGACAAAAATAGATGATGAAAAACAAAACAAAATAACTGTGATGACGTAAGTTATATCGCTGCAGACAACTATTTCCTAGAAGTATAAGTCAGCGTGGGACTGGGTCGGGATCCGGACTGATAATGATGGGACCTGGGCCATTTGCCGCTGGACCGGGGCCATCATTTTTATTGATCAATGATTGAATTTCAGACTGACTATTTTTACTTCGCTTCGATCCTGCTGCACAACGAGATCCCGAGAATGTACCTTTGATGGAAATGTCATCATTCATGACTGGTGGAAGCTCTGTATTTCCACTGGAAGTAAGCCGCTCTCCCGAATAAAAGGCCCGGGGTCTTCTACAATGGTCGCGCACATCGCATGGTTTTTGGGTAAAAATCCCCCTACCCCTGTAAGGCGTTTTTACCGAATTTTCGCGTTTGGGGGGCCTTCTATTGCGAGAGGGGATTTAGTACTAATTGTTTGACGTGATTTCTTGGGAGATAATCTTTCGTATAAGTATACTCAATTTTGCTCTTTGTAAGAAAATAAAAACCAATCGACCAGCAATCTGAAGATCCGCTACGTTGCACGAAGATTCATCACTTCAAATCTGGAATCGAGTGAACTGACACGCGGATCGATGTTAATAAAACTAACTGAGAATAAAGTTGTAACTTGTCAAAGGGGGACGGGACTAAGACCGAAAATTCATGGTCCTGACGATCTCTACCTAGGAGAGATGTGATACTCACGTATTTCAATGTCATTAATGCTCTCCGCATAAATTACGATTTGAGTCAGTCAATCGATAATGGGAAATTAAAGAATCACGTTTTAATGAAATTTCTCTATATAGAATTGTTCTATTTAGACTGAACCTACACCTCTTCCAATCGAAGGACGTGACACATGATTACAATCCAACGCCGGTTCCTTTCGACAAAAATTTCGAATTGAAAGAAGTGCACCCAGTGCCTTTTCGGGTCGAAATACCCTCCAATCAAACAACAACAACAAGTCATAGGAAACGTCCTTCGAATGCTTTCCATGAAAGTCCATTGCGTATTAAGTGTCTTTTGCAAACTAATGACAATGGATTGGATTGGAATACTTGCTGTGAATCGAATATATTTTTCACTAGTTCGCAGATGACCTTATAGTACTGCATCATTGAGTCTTATTTCTTCATTTCTAGAACAACGCAAAGGAGAAGAACAGAAGTCCACAAATCGTTCCTTGCCTCAACAACAATGCCAAGGAAAAAAACGGAAGCGCGAAAGCAGCTCCTCGCGACAGTAACTTTCGATGCAAAACTGTGATTTACAGTGTTCTTATTTTTTACTCCAGATATTTGAAACTTTTTCAGAAATAAATGTTATCGCTAGAAATTCTCTAGAGCTTGTGTGAGGGCGGAAATCTATATCACCTCAGTTATTATCGTCTCATCAGATTGAGCAAAACTGTATCTATTACAACAAAAGAACGCAAGTCCCCTTAGTTATTGTCGAAGTTCGAAATATTGCACTACCGCTAATATTCATGCCTGTCTGTGTTGAACTATTGGTATATATTTGCTCTTTAATTTTGGCTCATCTTTGTCGTCTAAAGAAGGAAGAAAAAAATTGTAATTCGTCACTCTTTCCGAACATGATGGTTCTATGTACAATTTCTCTTGTTTCATCATAACGCATCTTCCAGTTGTATTATATTCTTCGTATTTGATATTGAGTCCAGTATAGTGGTCACAATGATGAAGATTCTTTGTTTAATCAAAAGGAAAGGATGTAGTGTTATAGTGGATTATAGAATCATCATGTTCAACTATGGGAACTACAAGAATGTCCACATCCGCCACATTCCGTGTTTCCTGGCTGCCATGACCACCATCCTCCAGATTCGCAACAATCGCATGTCCCATCATTTTGTGGTGCCTCTTCAGCCATCTTTTCTTTCTAGAATATACCATAACAGCCGAAGAACTGTCTAAAAACTCACGCTATTACTTTTTCCAGCTTACTTTTTCAAAGTTTTATTGTTTTCGAAGTAGTGTATGAAATGACTGCCTAGCTTGTGAACAACTGGAGTATTTATACGTTGCTTTTTTCTTTCCAACTTAACTCACTTAGAATGATGAAAAAGTTCCTTTTTTTCTACTTTCTTTCTTTCTTTGTTTCTTTTACTTTCCAAGATAAAGCGAATTTCTTCCGAACAAGTCTTGCCTCCGATTCGCATTCATACATTTCAACGTTTAACTACGAAATATTTCTGAGCTTTTATTAAGAAGAAAAGTATTCGCACTAAATTAACATTTCCGAAAGATGGTCTGTTGAAGCACCGGTTGCTTCCGTGCAGGTGACACATGCGGCAATTGAATTCTCGGCTTTCGATTGGATGTTTGATGTTTCTTCAGGTTTTGCTTAGGTGTCGCTTTTGAAGGAACCGAATGAAACACATGTCGGGTATATGGTGTATTCATTTCCGATGAACGAAGAATAAAATCGATAGTAGAAGTTGTTGTCGCATGAACGATATTCCACACTTGTGCTATTCTCAATAAAGCGTGAACATCGACAATATGCGGATGAGTGTCCAATGGATCGATGAGAAAGAATAAGATGTCGATTTCATGAGAAACGATCAGTGATCCTAATTGTTGATCTCCTCCTAACGGGCCACTTTGAAATTTGGTCACCGGCAAATCGAGTTCTCTTTCAACCAACGAACCAGTAGTACCCGTTCCAAACAGTTTATGTTGAGCAAGAACTGAACGATGCTGTTTGAGACAATTGATCAGTTCTTCCTTTTTGTTATTGTGTGCTACAATCGCTATTCGTTTACAAGTCGACATAGTAATGTCTTCAGCCATATTATCTGTATAAAGAAATTCTGTGAGAAATAAACACGAAAACGTATCGCTTTTATTGGCACTCTTACTATTTTTTCCGACGATTAGTCATTCAAATAATCTACTAACGTCATTGTCATGGATATTACGCAACTTTCCATAAGCCATCGTTTCTTCGTACTCAACACATCGAAAGATTATGTCCTTTTTTACACAAGTTTATGATTGATATCGGAATTTTCCGATAGTGTTATTCATTAAGTCATTTCTTAACCTGAAGAAATGTTCTTTTTCAAAAGTGAAAGACAGATGTCTTATGTGTCGTTAGAATATTTGAAAAGAAATATGTTTTATACTTATTCGATGCCATCTTAAGAACTTTTTTTTTCTTTGCAATTACGTTCATGACTTCGAAAAAGAAACACCATATGGGCTGTTGGTATATAAAAAAAGAGTTTCTTCGCTTAACACTCGTTCATTCATTTTCAAGAATAGTATTCCTCGCTATAAAATGAATCCAAAAGTTGTTTTGCAATGGATCTATCAAAAACTTATCTCTTACAATCTTTTTCTGTTGAACGAAGATGATTATGAAGATGACGACAATGCTCACTATATCCAAGATCCTAGGATTGTTCTTAAGTATCAAAAATACAAAACTTGGCTGTACGTAATTCTTTTTACAGGTAAAAGTATCGACTCAGCGCAGTTCCCTATTCCATCTTCTTGATTTCAGTATGTCTCTATGTACTGTTCTTCGTCACATTGATGAAGATAGAGTCTCAAACGGTGATCATAACGAAAATCACACCTGAAACATTTCTTCAACTTAATTCTGAACATAGTGAAACTCTTTCATGTCCATGTTCAACCGTAACAATACCATACAAGAATTTTGTCTCTAATGAGATTACAATGCATCCTGTTTGTTCGAGTGGCTTCGTTGACCAGCAATGGATTCAAGCAATCTATTTTGAAGATGCCAGCCGATATGGAGTTTGGGATTTTCGAACCAGTGCCTATTCACAGGTCAGTTCACTTTAGCGAATCGTCGACAAGTTTCTATAATTTGTCTTTTAAGTTTGAACTTCTATTCAAACTTTGTACACTTTGTCAAGATGTGATTACCCAAACAATAGACGATATTAATAATACCGAGTTGATCGCCATTGAACTCCTTTCGGAAGCACAAATTCGACAGGAAGTTAATGCCATTATCGCATTTGAAAAGATTAGTGCATCTAGTCGGATGACAACGTTGTTAAATTATACTAGAACAACAATTCAGGGAAACTTTTTTGTTTCGGCACTGGAAACCAATTGGATTATTGGAACCGAGTATAGTTTCGATGGTTATTCTCCTTTCTTAATTGCCATGCAAGTGTCGCTGCAAGTTCCAAACTGGGAAACAATGTTATGCGGTCAAGGCATCGCATCAATCGAAGCCACTCTTCCGCCTCTATCCAATGATTCAATCGATTACTTACGTCGAGCAGAGATGACACCTCTGGATAATTCGACGATTGTCCATGGTTTCTTTGTAGGATGTACCCCTCTTGAAGCACTTCTGCAAAGTACATTGAATTGTCTGTATGACTTGGAATGTCTCGACTTATTATTCGATTACTTTCCAAATCTATACAGCGTTTGTATCGATTATAGTCAAATGAAATATTTTCTAGTCATTTACTTTTCTTTAGACTAATTTCACTCCGAGCAATTTACGTTTAACTTCACAATACGAGAATATGTCGGTAGCCGACAATTTAAATCGTCTTTTTGCTACGAACTGGTCATGGAATCTAAACTATTCGAGATACTTCGATCAATGCTCTCCATCCATGTGCACATACACAATAACAACTCGAACAGTTCTATCCTATGCAATTACTCTATTCATTAGTCTTTATGGCGGTCTAATCATCATACTTCGTTTGATCTCATCGCATATCATTGATCTCCTTGTGAAATATGCGAATCGCGCAAACAATACAGGCGAACTTAAGCTAGTTGAACGGATAAAACGATTGAATTTGTTTAAGAAAGCTGCAGAGCGAACGGAAGAAGCTATCAAACGGCAAAGAATTATTACTCGGTTCTATTTAATTTCATTAATCGGTAAAATTACTCGCATTTTCTAGAAAGTAGATAATTATCTGTTCACTCATGTTTTTTCGTTGTGAATCTTAGGTTCGATATGCATCCTTTGCCTTTTCACATCATTGGCTAGTGAAACGATGACGAAAATCGTGTCGAAGCCTTCACTATCGACTTACAATTCATTGGAAAGCATATATTCGGCGACACTCCGATGTCCATGTTCAAAGAAAGCCATACCTTATCAAATATTTCTCACTACTTCTCTACGTTTTCATCAAATATGTTCGAGCGGTTTTGTTCAAAATGATTGGATCAAAATCTTGCGAAATAGTGGCTTCAGCATCACCGAGAGCGATTGGAGTAACAACGTCGGTACAGAATTTCGAGTCTTGTCCGACTTTTGTCAGTTAGCAAACAAGACAATCGAGGATGCTACGAATCGATTTTTATCTCAAGTATATATCGCTTCCTTTGCAATGAATCAGCATGATTTTCACCGGGAATTATCTTCAATAGCCAAACAATTTTATCAGTCGACACTCTACAATTTCAATTCTCTGAAAAATTTTCAACAACTCATCATTCAAGTCGATCAGTTTTATCAAGGATCAATCCAAGCTTCATTTATATTCTACTACAATGGTCTAACTGTCAATATAATAACAGATGAAATAAGTAATCGTCAAACAGCAAAGGTAGGTCGTATTACCTGTGAATATATACTTAGATGATTTCGTTTGTATAGATGCAATTTGTTCTAAATGAAATTCAGCCAATCAATTCGACCATGGCCACATGCGTTTGTGCTGTAGATCCATCTTGTCACAGTTCAGCTGTTCTGTATAACCGATCACCTGATTATAGTTTGATGTATACCGTACCTGGTTGGAGTAAAGGCTGTTCCGGAATGGATTCGCTGCGACTATCGACACTTCAATGTCTATATCCAGAATCAAACCCGGACTGCTTTCCGCTCTTCTTGAGTGTTATATATAAAGTATCGGAGGTCTTTCTGTATCTTGAATCATCATCACTTCAGATTGAGCCGTTAATTTACGATTCAACCATAAGCCGTTATCCTCCTAATACATCGATGTCCGTTATCTTTGACGAAATGATGCTCGAACAATGGAATATATCTGCATCGTACGAGCTCTTCTACGAATCATGTGCACCGGCATATTGTTCATTTTCTGAACGAATTCGTAAAGAAAATTTCATTGAAGTTGTTATCACGCTAATATCGATGATCGGTGGTATCGTCATTTCACTTCGTCTAATAACACCATATTTAGCTAACTTCATTCTTGACTTTTGGATCGCATCAGGAAAGAAACCTAAAAAACCAAAACAAGGTAATGAATCTGTTTTTCGGAGTTGAATTTTGGAACTATTTACTTCCTTGTTTAGCTCATCAAAGTTGTCTCGATCGCTTGAAAACTCTCGTGGACACGTTCGTAGCGCTCTTGCGTAATACAATACTCAACTTAAATATATTCACGGTGCATGACTTCGGAAGTCATGATGATCGAGCGACTGTCAAGCGCCATGGTCAATGGGCAACGCGCCTTTTCTTCATTCTATTTCTCGGCAGTCTGATTTTGCTTATTTCTTATACCACTATTCAACCAAAAACTATAACAAAAACGTATGATAGACCATTGTTTACTTTCTACAAACATTTAATAGAAATTCATGGTGATGAATTGGAGTGCACATGCTCGAATATTGCATCATCATTCGATCGATTCGTTAACATTGAACCTGTATTTCACTCGATTTGTTCGAGTAAATTCATTTTCGATGAATGGCGAGTAGAGTTGACAAATGGTCTGGATCACAATTTAACTGCNTCATGAGAAACGATCAGTGATCCTAATTGTTGATCTCCTCCTAACGGGCCACTTTGAAATTTGGTCACCGGCAAATCGAGTTCTCTTTCAACCAACGAACCAGTAGTACCCGTTCCAAACAATTTATGTTGAACAAGAACTGAACGATGCTGTTTGAGACAATTGATCAGTTCTTCCTTTTTGTTATTGTGTGCTACAATCGCTATTCGTTTACAAGTCGACATAATAATGCTTTCAGCCATATTATCCGCATAAAGAAAATTCTGTGAGAAAACAATACGAAAACGTATCGCTTTTATTGGCAGTCTTACTATTTTTTCCGACGATTAGTCATTCAAATAATCAACTAATGTCATTGTCATGGATATTACGCAACTTTTCATGAGCAATCGTTTCTTCGTACTCAACATATCGAAAGATTATGGCCTTTTTTTATATCGGAATTTTCCGATGGTGTTATTTACTAAGTGATATCTTAACATTTTTCTTCGTCTTCTTAACCCGAAGAAATGTTCTCTTTCAAAAGTGAAAGACAGATGTCTTATGTGTCGTTAGAATATTTGAAAAGGAATATGTTCCATATTTATTCGATGTCATCTTAAGAACTTTTTTTTGTTTTTTGCAATTACTTTCATGACAATGAAAAAGAATACAGAAAAACAAACATCAGATGGATTGTTGGCATATGAAAAATATATTTCTTCGATTTAAACTCGTTCATTCATTTTAAAGAATAGTATTCCTCGCTATACAATGAATCCAAAAGTTGTTTGGCAATGGATCTATCGAAAACTTATCTCTTACAATCTTTTTATATTGAGCGAAGATGATTATGAAGATGACGACGATACTCACTATATCCAAGATCCTAGGATTGTTCTTAAGTATCAAAAATACAAAACTTGGCTGTACGTAATTCTTTTTACAGGTAACAATATCGACTCAGCGCAATTCACTATTCCTTTTTCTTGATTTCAGTATGTCTCTATGTACTGTTCTACGTCACATTGATGAAGGTAGAATCTCAAACGGTGATCGTAACGAAAATCACACCGGAAACATTTCTTCAACTTAATTCTGAACATGGTGAAACTCTTTCATGTCCATGTTCAATCGTGACAATACCGTACAAGAATTTTGTCTCTAACGAGATTATAATGCATCCTATTTGTTCGAGTGCCTTCGTTGACCAGCAATGGATTCAAGCAATCTATTTTGAAGATGCCAGTCGATATGGAGTTTGGGATTTTCGAACCAGTGCCTATTCACAGGTCAGTTTACTTTAGCAAATTGTCGATAAGTTTCAATCATTTCTCTTTTAAGTTTGAACTTCTATTCAAACTTTGTAGACTTTGTCAAGATGTGATTACCCAAACGATAGGCGATATTGATAATACCGAGTTGATCGCCATTGAACTCCTTTCGGAAGCACAAATTCGACAGGAAGTTAATGCTATTATTGCATTCGAAAAGATTAGTGCATCTAGTCGGATGACAACATTGTTAAATTATACTAGAACAACAATCCAGGGAAACTTTTTTGTTTCGGCACTGGGAACCAATTGGATTATTGGAACCGAGTATAGTTTCGATGGTTACTCTCCTTTCTTAATTGCCATGCCAGTGTCACTGCAAGTTCCAAACTGGGAAACAATGTTATGCAGTCAAGGCATCGCATCAGTCGAAGCCACTCTTCCACCCCTATCCAATGATTCAATTGATTACTTTCGTCGAGCAGAGATGACACCTCTGGATAATTCGACGATTGTCCACGGTTTCTTTGTAGGATGTACCCCTCTTGAAGCACTTCTCCAGAGTACATTGCATTGTCTGTATGATTCGGAATGTCTCGACTTATTATTCGATTACTTTCCAAATCTATACCGTGTTTGTATCGATTATAGTCAAATGAAATATTTTCTAGTTATTTACTTTTCTTTAGACTAATTTCACTCCGAGCAATTTACGTTTAACTTCACAATACGAGAATATGTCGGTAGCCGACAATTTAAATCGTCTTTTTGCTACTAACTGGTCATCGAATCTAAACTATTCGAGATACTTCCATCAATGCTCTCCATCCATGTGTACATACACAACAACAACTCGAACAGTTCTATCCTATGCAATTACTCTATTTATTAGTCTTTATGGTGGTCTAATCATCATACTTCGTTTGATAGCTTCTTCCGTTC